TACATACATAATCTAGCATTGAAACTACACAAAATATAGTATCGGAGCAACAAAACAGTCCATCCTAAGAACATTGGAGATAGGAAGTTCACTTGTCAAAAAATACTGATATCACGGATGGATAGCGATTGACTGCGGAATGCTGGCTGAATGCGTATTAACTGAGGATTAATGGCATTGCATGTTGAGCTAGAAGTCATTAATTGTTTATTATCAATTGTGTAGTCCAGAAAATTTGCTGTTCCGGAACTCCAGAAATTTGATTTTTATTGACTGCGATTCGGTTGCATCACTTATTTATTAATGATCCAGAAAGACTGCTGCTGGTTTGCTGCTGCTATTGGTTGCTTTCTGCAGCTGTTCCAAGCGATCATTGGGCAAATGTTCGTTCGATCGTTCGTTTTGCACAGCTGGGCTAAGTTCGAGCCTCTCTTCCAAGAACCCACTGGACGGTATCGAAGAGAGTTCGAGCCTATACTTCGATGATCACCAAATTGGTAATCGAATGCAGAACCTCATGAAGACGGATGAGTTAATGTGCTCATATCGTTAAGTGAGTGGAAAGAAGGACTTAAAGGAAGGCAGAATGTGGTGTTGGTGTTAAGAGGGGTGCGAAAACTCGTAATGAGCTGTAATTGCTGATGAAGCAGATAAACGAATGAATATGAGTGTTGAATATGAATCTTTTGATCTCTTGAGTGCACAGCATTTTGATGGGCACTTTTGCAGTAGCGTGTTACTGTAATGAAAAAATGTCGGAGACGTGGAAGTCGAAGGCGAAATTTCCAATTGTGGACGCTGGAAATGCGCTCGGCTCGAAAAAAAAGTCAGGGACGAGGTATCGAAGAAAGGATCCACGAAATTGCCCGTTCGTCGCAGCACACTATGGTGCACATATAGTATCGTCCTAGCACTTTTCTATAAATCAATCACTATCCTTAGAAATTTTTTGGAATTCACAGAACTTAACGTGAAGATATCGAGTTTTGATACACTAATTTGTTTGGAGTGTTTCAAATCATTTCATGGATATGCACCAATTAACCATACCGGTAAATTCTCTAAATTCGGTGATCGCGTTTCAGTTTGTTGTTTGTCAGGTTTATTCTCAGCACAATTTCGTTGGTCTAACTTCATCGTAACATTTGCCGCATCCGTTCCGATTTTGTTCTCGTTGTTCGGCATGAGTACCGCCGGACTATTGCGGTTTGGTGTTACCGTCGAATCAGCGAACGGCGATTGTTGTCTAGGATCTACGCTTGTTGTAGGAGCATTGTTTGGCGGTGATTTTCCTGCCTGCACACTCTACAAGTGAGTTTTAAACGAAACCACTTAGTAACTTCTGACGAAGACCAACCAGTTCAACAAGAACATTCTCAAAAAATGACCTCTATGATGACCCCTCTTGATGACAGCCTTCATCAATTTATTACTTATTCCAGCAAAATTTTCCTCTCAAGTAAATGACAATCAGTGCGCAGTATCGACGAAACAGCATCAATTTCGAAGAGGAAACCAAAAGAAGAGAACAAACTATCTGGAAGAAAATCTTAGAAATTACCTGATATCTGATACTGGGCATTGAAGTTGTTGTAGCATTTCCCTGTTTGTATCTGCGACACAATACTATCGGCAGGAATATGATCACAATTGCGTGCGAGTGGATCAGCAGTGCTTGAGAGACGTTATTTGTACTTTTAATTCAAAGCAAAGAAAGAATATGGATGAACGTTTTCATTGTTTTCTATCGTAGTTTTGTGGAACGTTTGATGGTGAAGGTTAGCTAACTGGATGAACGGCCGTTCCGCCGATTATCTACATCAACCTCAACGTTGTTCTTCTCAGGTGGATAGCGTTTTTACCCTGGTGCTTTTACTAAGCACCAGGATAAAAGCGCATTCGACAAACACTTACGGATATCCAACTCATGCGCGCCTGTTCAATGACGCTCTCAATATCCTGGTTTCAAAAACACATGTCACTGTTTATATGGTATGATTAAATGTGAAAAAGAAAATCTCAAATGGAACACCAAATCACTCACCAAAACAACTGGCAATACCAAGTACTTGATCCATAACCTAATTGCAAATAGTGAAAACGATGAGCCCCAAAATGCAGAGCTTCAACCGCTCACTGGTGTATTTTTTGTAAGAAATGCCTCACGTTCCATCAAAACTTAATGAGAAAACTGGTTTCGAACCTTTGGAATGTGCAAATTTCGGAATTTTTGTGAAATTTGTTTCGCTACTGTAACTGTGTTGGTTATGCAAGAAAATGAAAAGTTGAAACAAATAGAAAGCCCCAAATTGTCATAATCAATGGAGTTACTTCATGCCAGGGTGCTTGGCATGTCGAATTTTCATTGTGGTACCAGGTTAGGTGACCTAAAGACATTCGGCTTAACGGATACGTGGTCCAGTGAGCATCCGAAAGTATCGGCCTTCACGAGTTGCCCGAATCGGAGTTCTCAGTGATGTTACCTTCATATTCTATTATTTTAATGGACTATTCATGCACTGCATATTGTTGATTATGTCAGCTTTGATCGAAGTAGTCTTTGATCAATCTGTTTCGTTTGATGACCTGTGATCGACCAATTACTTCAGCAGTCTCCTTCAAGGCACTATGGACGGATTTGCAAACAGCCAACTCCATACAAAGATTAAACATAATGTTTATTACTATTCAATCCTAGCCAACCATATCCATGGGAAAAATGTCCGTTAGTCCAATTGTGCATCTATCGCAATATGAAACGCTACCGTATCTCGCTTTCTTGATTGCCCATTTAACTTCTTTTCTATCAAATTTATAGCTACAGTCAGGATAACAGTAGCCAGGCTAATACGAAAACAATTTCGACGTGTTTCGCTTAGGCAATCAGTGATATGTGTGTTGTATGCAATATTGAACGTGGTTTTCATATAGATTAGTGTTTGAGCTTATTGCTCACATTTAAACGTTACAATTAAGCCATATCGTGATTATTACTGTCCAAACAAGGTTTGTGATCTATTCATCATCATGTGCAATAGGCAAACAACATTTCAATTCATGTATAAGGGGATCGCATAATAATATTAACATTATATTTGATCGTAGCGTGTACGCATGAATTAATTGAACAGTAAATTTGGCATCGTTGATCTGAAAGCCTGACAGCATGGATAAGGTTTATGGATGTTTCACTAGTCAGTGAAATGTTTGTTTGATTTAGACAATCAGCAGCACCGACTGATCGTAAGATATCTCCTCGAATAGCAACAGAATACTCATAAAGTATACTGGTGAGCGAGATATAATAGTCGACCGAAATGTGATGTTTGC